AGAGGATTGCCTGAGCCCAGGGGTTCAAGACCAGCCTGGGCAACTTGGCGAGACCTCGTCTCTACAATAAATCAAAACATTAGCCGGGCATGGTGGCGTGCATCTGTGGTTCCAGCTCCTTGGAAGGTTGAGGCAGAAGGATCGCCAGAACCCAGCAGGTCGACACTGGGGTGGCCCTGAGTGTGCTGCTGTACTCCAACCTGGGTGACAGAGTGAGACTGCAAATTAGCCGGGCGTGATGGTGCACACCTGTAGTCCCAGCTGCTCGAGAGGCTGAGGTGGGAGGATTGCCTGAGCGCAGGAGGTGGAGGCTGCAGTGAGCCATGATCATGCCGCTGCACTCCAGCCTGGGTAACAATGAGACCCCGACTCATAAAATAAAATATTTTTTAAAAATGGTTCCTGCAGGTGTGGGGAGCGGACAAGAGAGGAAATACATTTTGAACAAACACAATCCCGGAAAAGAGTGTTAGGTTTGTTGTACTGAGATGGAAACATACCCAGAATATTAAAATAAAAACAGGCAAGTTGAGGCCCCAGTGTGTGCAGCGTGATGCTATGCTTGTAAATTTTAACAAATGTTTGCTTGCACGCTTATAAACAGCAGGCGGAAGGGGTGGGATTGGGACAAGGAGATTACTTTGTCTTACTGATACCCTTTGGAGCTAGTGGCGTTGGACTGTGTTACTGTGATGAGCAGTTGGTGTTACTTTGTTATTCAAATACACGGTTTTAAATGAAATGAGATACACAAGGAAGTGCTGAACTGGGCAGCCCAGCAGAGGGAAGGGGGAGGGCTCCCTGGAGGAGTGGGCAAGGAGCTGGGCCCTGGGAGATGGAAGCTCAGAGGTTTTGCCCCTGGATGCAATGCAAATGTGGAAAAGGTAGTTGGATGCCCCCTTAGCGAACCCACCAGGGGCAGGCTAGGCACAAAGTTGCTTCTCCCCGCCTTTCTCCGGGTTGTGCTGGGTCACCCTTCCCAGAGCTGTGGTTCTGACCCGCTAGCACTGACCCTGGGCTGGGACCCCTGCTGGGACTCACCGGGCTGTTGACTGTTTCCAGCTCACTCTCTTGGGTCCGACCTGGAATGTCCTCTCTCTCTCCTTCTGGCTGATTGGAGAATTTTTTTTTTTTTTTGAGTTGGAGTCTCACTCTGTCACCCAGGCTGGAGTGGTAGCATGCTCACGGCCACGGCAGCCTCGACCTGCTGGACTCAGGTGATCCTTCCACCTCAGCCTTCCGAGTAGTTGGAACTAGAGGCGCACTACCACGACTGGCTTGTTTTTTGATTTATTGTAGAGACGAGCTATCGCCAAGTTGCCCAGGCTGGTCTCGAACCCCTGAGCTTAGGCAACCCTCTCGCCTCGGCCTCCCAAAGTGCTGGGATTACAGGCTTGAGCCATCGTGCCTGGCCTGCCAATCCCTTACCTACAGTATTACAATAGTTGCTCAGGGTCCGCTTATGAATGAGAACATGTGATACTCGGTTCTTTGTTTCTGTGATAGATCACTCCATGTTATAGGTGTATTATTATTATAAGTCAACAACAAGTGTCAATGGAGAGTCCACCATGCCCCAGTGCCTGGTCCAGGTGCTGGGGACACTCAGGTGTCTCCTGGGCCTTCCTTGCCCCTGATGGAGTGGGTCCCTGTCCCCAGGCCCCTTGCCATCCGTGGTCAGCATCTCAGACTGCGGGGTCCAAAAGGCAGGGACCTGGCTGCCTGAGTTCACTGTTCCATGCCCGGGGTCTGGCGCCGCACCTGCCTGTGCATAGTAGGTGCTCAGGAAACGTGTGTTGAAGAACGAACGGAGGGATGGAGCAAAGGATAAGGTCGCGAGCCGTGGGGGCGTTCGGACAGCAGCCATGCTGACATCCCATCCCCCGTCCCCGTCCCCGCAGGTGAGTGTCCCAGCCCCGGGCGCGGCAGCACTGCCAAGCGGAAGAAGAAGCAGCGGCGGAACCGCACGACGTTCAACAGCAGCCAGCTGCAGGCGCTGGAGCGCGTCTTCGAGCGCACCCACTACCCCGACGCTTTTGTGCGCGAGGAGCTGGCCCGGCGGGTCAACCTCAGCGAGGCGCGCGTGCAGGTGAACGAGCCACCATCCACCACCTGGGGACGCCCTGGACCGGGGGACCTGTGCTTGGGAGGCCAGGAGGGCAGAGGTTCAAATCCCAGCCTGGCCACTTGCTGGCTGTGGGACCTTGGGCGATTCGCTTTGTCTCCCTTTGTCTCTCTGCACCTCCTGGTAAAATGAGCATCACGTGGGTCTGTGTTATGGGAGTCTCGTGGGAATTGGCGGGAATATCCCAGCACTTTGAGAGGTGGAGGCGAGAGGATTGCCTGAGCCCGGGAGTTCGAGACCAGCCTGGGTAACGTGGTGAAACCTTGTCTCTGCAATAAATCACACACAAAAAAATTAGCCGGGCGTGGTAGTGCACGCCTGTAGTTCCGGCTACTTGGAAGGCTGAAGCGAAAGGATCACCGGAGCCCAGCAGGTCGAGGCTGTGGTGGACAGGAGCGTGCCACTGCCCTCCAGCCTGGGCGATGGAGTGAGACTCCAACTCAAAAAAAA